AAATAAAGTAGGAGAGAAGAAAGTACAAGACTATAAAAAAGTTAGTACTGGAGGGAAGATATCAAGTGGGTATTATGGGTTGAATTGCTTAAAACACACAAGAGAAGCAAGTACACACTGGCAGAAATATAAATGTATTTGCAAAATATATTCCTGAAAAGGACTTACATGAAAAATATATAAAGAACTCAAAAACAAAGGTCTGAGTAGGTATTTTACCAATGAAGAAATATGGATGGCAAAAGAATACATCAAAAGATGGTCAACATTATTAGTCACAAGGGAAATGCAAATTAAAACCACAACACTGCTTAACTATTAAAATGGATTTTACAAAAAGAAAGTAATTGCTGGGTATTGGTGGTTCATGCCTATTATAATCCTAGCTACTCAGGAGGCTGAGATCTGAGGATTATGGTTCAAAGCTAGTCTGGGCAGGAAAGTCCATCAGACAATTATCTCCAATTAACCACTAAAAAGCCAGAAGTGAAAAACCACTAAAAAGCCAAAGTGAAGCTATGGTTCAAGTGGTAGAGTACCAGCCTTGAACAGAAAAAGCTGAGGGACAGTGTCCAGGCCTTGAGTTCAAGCCTCAGTATTAACATGTGTGTGTATACACACATACACATGACAAAACTAACTGCTGGTGAAGATGTGAAATAACTGGAATTCTCATATATAAAGGCAGGAAAACAAAATGGTATTTCCACTGAGGAGAAAAGTTTGGTATTTTCTTATAAAGTTAGAAATGATATCATATGACTGAGAAACACCACTCCTAGCATTTACCCAAGAACACTGAAAACATATTCCCATAGTATTCCCTATTTAAGACAGCTTCATGTACAATCAAAATGAAAACAACCCAAATGTCCTTCAACTGATGAATGAATAAACTGCAGTACAAATACAATGCAACACTGCTTGTAATAAAAAGGATTGATACACATAAGAATGTGGAATAATTTAAGTCAAAAGATTATATACTATATGATTTCATGTATGATGACCTGGAAAAGGGAAAACTACAGGACAGAAGGGGCTTGTACAAGCAGAAAAGTTTAACTACATAGGCACAGAGGAATATTTAAGGACATGAAAATTTGTCTTTATCTGATTGTGGTGGCAAATGGCTACCTTTCAATGCACTACACTTTCAATGGCTACACTAATATGGGGATATGGTATGTGGAAACAATGGTTATGAGGAAAGCATTATCCTTTGCTAGTGAAATGTATCACATGGAGAGGAAGAAAATGAAGTTATAGATCTGAAGCTCAGCTCCATACATCTTGTTCAAACAGACCATTCATCTTCATAAAAAACTTCCAGTCAAGCCATTTAAAATTTTTGTATACTTTTCACATTTCTTTTCTCTCTCTTTTTTTGTTGGTCGTGGGGCTTGAACTCTGGGCCTGGGCGCTGTCCCTCAGCTCTTCAGCTCAAGGCGAGCGCTCTACCACTTGAGCTACAGCGCCACTTCCGGTTTTCTGGTGGTTTATTGGAGATAGGAGTCTCACGGTCTCTCCTGCCCAGGCTGGCTTTGAACCGCAATCTTCAGATCTCAGCCTCCTGAGTAGCTAGGATTACAGGCGTGAGCCACCAGCGCCCGGCTTTCACATTTCTTATTCAATTCCAGCATCAAAATTTTTTAAAGATTATCAAAACAGAACTGTTGTATCAGAAATCTGGAAACAAAACCAAGTGTTTGGACAGAAACTTGTGAACTTCCTACCCAAACTGAACTATAATGAAATAAAGTAAGTTATGAAATAAAGCTTATACACCCAAAATAGCACTTCTGTGGCACTACATCAATTTGTGTATTGGCCCCAGACAAATGAGAGGCTTATTAGAAAAGAATTATTTCTCAAAGTCTTAATGGAAGTCACAGGAAATAGTCAATGAAGCACTAAATATTTAATTCAAAACACTCAATATAGTTGGTTTGGTAGCCTGAGACAGCTGCCTTATAATTAATAAAACAGATTTTCTCCATAAGAATCTATATTCTACCTGCTAACAGATCAAATTCTATAAGGCAGAGAACATAGGAGAATACTCAAATCTAGTAGAAAAATACAGTAATCTACGTGCAAAAAAACCCCAAATCTGTATCACAAATATATTTGAAAATATGTTTAAATAACCTGAACATATTCTTTATTTTGAAAACACTGAGTTTAGAGATCTTGTTTAGCACTCTGAAGTGTGGTGGCTGAGTCACAGGAACATGCTCATGAAGTTTTATGAACTGTGGGAAGAAGTTGAGTAGTTCATGGAGATCAAAGAAAATCTGTCAGGAAATTCAAAGATAGCAAGTAACTGTGTGTTCTAGCTCTCGTGATGAGTATTACCAAGTACCTCTCAGAACTGAACATCAGGACGAAGGGCCACTGCAGGACCCCAACCAGCTTCTCAATTTTCTGCTTTCAAATATGAAGTCATTTGAAGCTTAATGAAGTTAGGAAAATGCAATTTGACAGGAATAACACAGTTCATTTCCCCACTCTGGAAGGACAAAAGTCTTCTATGACACTTGAATATTCTGGTGAATATGAAAAACTAATTGAGGCTGTTCAATAAGGAAACAGATGAAATGCCCAATAACCTATACTATGAAAACCATTATCTGTAAAGTGATAAGCTGAAAGCTAGACACAACAACCTCCCACTGCCTGACTTCTATAAATATTAATATAAACAATAATGAAGAGATGTGCACTCAAATACACATCTGAATTCAGGACAACTTATTGCTATGAGCAGTTCTTTTCAAAATTTAACATTGCCAAGAGTCAACTGCACTCTAGTTTGTAATCTTGGCTACTCAGGAGAAACTGAGATCTGGGAAGCTAAGGTTCAAGGTAGAAACGTTCACCAGACTCCATAACCAAAAATAACTAGCAAAAACAGGACTGGAGGTATGACTCAAATGGTAGAGCACCAGCCTAGCAAGTGTGAGATCCTAAGTTCAAACATAAGTACTACCAGGAAAAAAAGAAGTGACGCTACAACTAATACAAAGAAATACAAAGACCAGAAGGGACTATTAGGAACAATTATATGCCAACAAATAAGAAAACCTAAAAGAAATTGATAAATTTGTACACATATGTATCAAAAGTAAGCCGTAAGACAGGGAATTTGACCAGACCAGACATCAAAGAAAAGCCCATGTCTAGATGGCTTCATTTCTGAATTTTAGTAAACATTTAAAGAAGAACTAGTGATTCTTCTCAACCCTTTCAAAACACTAATGAAGAAAGAGTACTTCCAAACTCTTAAGTGAAATAAGCTAATATTGTACAACTTATACATGGAAGTTTAAAAAAAGCTGATCTCAAAGAGGCAAGTCATAGGAAAAAAAAGTCTGGAAGGAGTGTCAGTGAGGAAGAACAGCAGGAGGATTGCTAAAAGCTAAAAAGACACAGCTGAAGGGGAGGAATAACTCCCACTATTCTCTCCCCCGCCCCCCCTCCCCAGTCCTGGAGCTTGAACTCAGGACCTGGGCGCTGTCCTTAAACCTCTTTATGCTCAAGGCTAGCATTTTACCACTTGAGCTGGAGCGCCACTTCTGGCTTTTTCTGAGTAGTTTATTGGAGATAAAAATCTCAGACTTTTCTGCCTAGGCTTGCTTTGCTGCAATCCTCAGATCTCAGCCTCCTGAGTAGTTAGCATTATAGGTGTGAGCCACTGGCCCATTATTCTATTGTATAGTAAGCTAACAATGGTTGGCAACCATTAAATGAATATTTCAAAATACCCAGTAGAGAGACTTGTGAATGTTCCTAACAAACAAAACTGTTATATTTCTGAAGTGATAAATGCCAATGACCTGATCAGATCATTACACACTGTATACATATATTGAATGTCACATCATACCCCATAAATATGTTCAATTATTTTGTATCAATTTAAATATGTATTTTAAAAAGATGGTATACCGTAAAACAGTGAGATTATCCACATATACACAATTTAGAACCCTTAAAGACAGAGAATGTTCTTTGGAGTCTATAGAGATGTGGCAGAAGAAGTCAGAGGAATTCCATACACAAGAAGCACTATGTGATATGCAATTCAGAACTAGATTGAGAGGCCAAGTACAAGGAACAAAAAGCAGCTTGAAAAGCTGAAAGTATCCTCCAGTTGATGGCCAGTAAGGTAAAAAGGACCTCAGCTTTACAAACATAAGGAACTGGACTCAGCCAACCTGAAAGAACCTGGGGGCAGATACTTCTTAGAGCCTCCCAGTAAAAAGTCCATGAGTCCCCAACTTGACTTCAATGTAGTGAACCTAGAGCAGAGAAAGAGCCTTGAGGCTTGAATTCAGTTAATTACGTATTATTTTTTTCGCTTCTGAGAAAGTGAACAGACAAGATTAGACAATGAGGAGAACAACTGTTTTATTAGTTCCCCTAAAAGCAGCACAGACAGGGTGCACCTCAATCTCCAATAAATTGTTTACTGGGGGAAGGGGCACTAAAAGATCGTTTTCTTTGGAAGTTACAGTGCAACAGCACCACCAAGAGGAGCTTCAGCAGAAGTACTGCTATCAAATTTCCTCTACTGTAAAGATAATCAAATCTGAGACAGTTTTTTTTTTGGTCCGATTGTGGGGCCTGAACTCTGGGCCTGGGTGCTGTCCCTCAGCTCTTCAGCTCAAGGCTAGCGCTCTACCACTTGAGCCACAGTGCCACATCCGGCTTTTTTCTTTTTGCTTATGTGGTGCTGAGGAATTGAACCCAGGGCCTTAGGCATGCAAGGCAAGCGCTCTACCACTGAGCCACCTTCCCAGCCCCTCTGAGACAGTTTTGTACTAGTGCCACTTTCAAGTAATCTTTGAGCCCTGCGCTCCGAACCTAATGCAGCCTCTTGGTCTCCTTCACAGAGAACTTCTGGAGTTGCCACTGTCAGCCAGGGAGCATCTAGCCTGCCTCAATGGTATAGGATAGCAAGCCCTACAAATTTTCAGACTCAAGAGGAGACTCAGTCAAGTAGACCACTCTGTGGTCAGCACGGCATAGAAACTTGGAACCTCTGCTTCTTCACTCCTGGCTGTGCATGAAGACACCCAACACTGCACAGGAGGCATATTTACTTTTCAACACAGGCAAAAGAGTTAGAGAAGAAATGTTTATTTCGAATGTAAATTAAACAATGCAGAAAGTAGGATGTTTAGTATTTTGTTTAAAAATCTAGACGTTTCTCTTAAGCCCAGAATTTAAGAAGTCATTTTTGCAGATATGCTGTGCAGAAGTTTTGATACTGAATTACATAATCATAGGACAGTCTCAAAGCAACCGATATCTAAAGACACCCATAAATTAACCACACCTCCCAGAATTTATGCATCTTTCTTTTCCTTCTGGTTCTAGGCTCTGAATTTAGTGTCTCACACTCAATTTGCTTTTCACAGCTAGTGCTTTAACACTTGGGTCACATCTCCAGCCTGACATTTTGATAATTAGAGAGGAGTCCTGTGTACTTTTCTGCCTGAGTTGGCTTCAAACCTCTCATCCTCCGAAGTAGCTAGAATTACATGGACCACTAACACTAGACACATTTATGCACCTATATAGTCTCTATATGCTTTGACCATTGTGATCAAAGTGATATTCTCAGATATCACTAGATTTTTTAAAATTTCTATTTTTGTCAGTCATGGGTCTTGAACTAGAGGCCTGGGCACTGCCTTAAGCTGTTTTGCTCAAGGCTTAGTACTCCACCACTTTAGCTATAGCACCACTTCTGGTATTCTGGTGGTTAACTGGAGATAAGAGTCTCACAGACTTTCTTGTGGGTCTTGAACTGTGATTCTCAGATTTTAGCCTCCTGAGTAGCTAGAATTATAAGTGTGAGCCTCTACATCTGGCTCACTACATTATTTTAAAAACCAGACTTTTCAATTCCTGCTCCTCTAACTTAGTATGCTTGTTTCATTGGTATGAGAAGGTCAAGCTTCATGGCAAGGTCACCCAGAGAAGAACTGCTATTATATTTTTTGATGCTCTGTAAACATATAAACACATGTTTAGCTGGGTGCCAGTGGCTCATGCCTGTAATCCTAACTACTCAAGATGCTGAACTTTGAGGATTAAGGTTTGAAGACAGCTAGAGCAGGAAAAGTACATGAGACTCTTGTTTTGTTTTTGTGCCTGTCCTGGAGCTTGCACTCAGGGACCTGAATGCTGTCTCTGAGCTTTTAATTGCTCAAGGCTAGCTCTCTATCACTTGAGCAACAGCTCCAATTTTAGAACCGAGGTATTCTAATCAATACCTCAACACTTCTCCAGCTGGCAGAGGCACCAACTGCTAGCTGTGACACAGGATATAATGGGTAACCAACCCAGCTGCTCTCTGACTGCAAACATATATGATGATTTCAAAGTGAGTATCACTCCGCTGAGCAATCTATCCACAGCACTGAGAGAGATAATTACATATTGCTGTTTTGGGGTACTACATTTTGAAGTGGACTGTTGCACAGCAACAGGCAACCAGAACAAATTTATTTTATGGCCACAACCATGCAAAATGAGCAATAAACTTAAAAGACAATTTCTTACAATAACATTGTCATCTTTGATTCTTTGAGATTATGGGCTCCTCTAGAGAATACATGATAGATATACATATACTGTATATCCTCTTTCTCTCCCAACCCAGTAACTATATTCTCAATAAATATTTATTAAATGGAAGCATGAATAATACAAACAGCTAACTATTGATTATATTGATGGAAGGAAGTAAGGACATAACTAATTCAGAAACAGTAGATATTTAAAAGTATATATAGCAACTTAGTGATACAGACACATTTCAATGCACTTTGCCAACCTGGCTCTCTGAAAGGGCATTAGAGCAGTGCTTCTGAATCTCTACTGCAGGGCACTTCAAACTCTTAGAAAATCACTGAAGCCCCAGTCAACTGCTTTATATGTCTGTATACAAGTAGGCTTTAAACCTGAGAATAATCCAAAATATTTATTCCTTCACTTAAATATAGACACTTTACATGCTGACATAAATAATATAGTTAATGAAAAATAACCTGTCTTTAAAAAATGTTGGTTCACTGAGTTCATAGAGCAGGTCTTACAAGTATTGGCACATTTCCTTATCTAGTATCTTTAAAAATCCACATATATTAACATCACTGATATCACAAGTCTTCCAAATTTTTGGGAAGCAAATTCATGGTGCAAAATTTGTCAAAATCTTAATTTTACCATTGAGATTTTTAATTTTAACATTGAAAACTCTTTAATTTTTACTACTGACAGCCAACACTGGTGGCTTGCTTTGTTAGAAGTGATAAGTTCACTTTGATTTTAAGAAAATGTCTGCCAAGTCTGAATAATCATAGTCTGTCACTGGTTCTTTCATGTAAAAATAGAATTTCATGCAACAAGTAGCTGATCATACACAGACTTTCCTGAAGGCGATCACTGTATGCTGTACACTGTACTTAATAGAACTTCTACTTCTATCATACAAAATATTAGAAACATACACAGGCAAAAATCAACATTCATTATGAGTTATTTTTTCAAATTTCAAAAGGCTATTTTTAAATACTCATATCAGCAAGGGTATTTAAAAGGAAGATAGCTTTGTTCTTCCACATCAAGTGTGTGGCTATGGAAAATACAGTGAGCACTGGTATAGTTGGAAGTCACTCAATTTATTAAGGTCTGAACCGTTTCACCTAACTGAGCTTCTACACCTATTGGTACAATTGGCAGTTCACAGAAAATAGCAAATGATGTCCTATCATTACCTTTTGTGGCCTGCAGACCATACTTGAAGCAATATTGCACTAATGTAATCTAAGATTAAAGAAATTCTTCATGGTGGATTCTGCACTCATTCTAAGTGAGAATCTTGAGTATAAGGTAGAGTTATAAGGTCTGTCTCCTTCTCAGTGTTATTAGAAACAACACTTCTGGGTTAGGATCAGCGCTGGATTCCAATTTCTGCTCACAAACATATGAGATATTGAACCCTGAATAAGTTTCAGTCTCTCTTCAGATAGGGTCTTGAGGCCTCAGTTTTTTCATCAATAAAGTAGAAAATTTGTAACTTACAGAGGACTACAGTCACAATCTAATAAAGCAGTCTCCCTCTAACAGTGTCCCTTTAACTCAGAGTCGCACTGAGTAAGCTCTGTACTAAACTGGATTTGCAATGATTAACATTCATATTTAGGATGGCAGTGATAATGTTGGTCTTACTTTTTCTCTACATTTTTTGCAAAGGGACCATACCCTTAACAGGCACTCATAAAAACTTACCTCTTTAAGTGGGATGGGCCAATGGAGAGGATTAATGAGGATAAACATAGTTGTAGTACTGTAGATATGTGTATGGAGACAAAACAATAAAACTTGCTAAAATTGTTTTTAAGACAGGGCAAGGGAAGAAAGGAGATAAAGGAGAGTGATGAAAGGGTGAGTTTAAAATATATATTGTGCATGTATAGAAATGTCACAATGTGGGGCTGTGAAGGTAGCTCAGTGGTAGAGTGCTTGCCTCCCATGCATGAGGTCCTGGATTCGATTCCTCAGCACCACATAAGCAGAAAAGGCCAGAGGTGGCACTGTGGCTCAAGTGGTAGAGTGCTCGCCTTGAGCTGAAGAGCTGAGGGACAGCGCCCAGGCCCAGAGTTCAGGCCCCACGACCAGACTCCCCCAAAAAAACAAAAACAAAAAAACACAAAAAAAGAAATGTCACAATGTTACAATGAAACAACAAATACATGCTAATAAGAGGATGATTCAAACTTTAAAAATAATTAACAATTATCCCTGCATACTTTCAGATTTTGTTGACCATCAAAAATTATCTAAATAAAAATCTATAGTAGAGAAAAAAGGGAAAACTGTAAATAAATAAAGTTGGTTCTGAGTTATATGTGTGCCTACCTTTTCTCAGCTACTTTTTTAGACTCTGTCTGTCTGTCTGCCTGCCTGCCTGTCTCTCCCCCGCGCCCCCCCGCCCCCCAGCAGTCCTGGAACTTAAACTCAGGGCCTGGGCACTGTCCTTCTTTTTGATAGAGGTTAGCACTCTACCACTTGAGCCACAGCGCCACTTCTGGTTTTTTTCTGTTTATGAAGAATTGAACCCAGGGTTTCATGCATGCTAGGCAAACACTCTACCACAAATCACGTTCCCAGCCCCTTTTCTTAGACTTTCTAAGGAAGCATTTTCTTTTTTAATTTTTATTTTTTTATTGTGAAAATACCATACAGAGGAGTTACAATTACATGGGCAAGATAATAAGTACATTTCTTATCAAGCATTGTTGCCGCCTCTTTGTTTCCCCTTCCCATATTCCCCCCACTTCCCCCACCTGGTCCTCCCCACCGCCACCAAAGTTGTAAAGTTCATTTTTCAACATAACGACTTGTACTTCTCATTGTTGCAATGAGTCCACCTGTATCCCTAGTTAAACTATTTGTTTTTTCCCTTCTCCTACACAAATTATACCAACATCAAATACAGTGAAAGTAGGGGTTATACCGTGGGGGAGGGACATACAAAGCAACATAGAAATCATCTTATAAATATGTTAGAAACAATTGCATGAGGGCTGGAAAGGTGGCTCAGTGGTAGAGCGCTTGCCTTGCATGCATGAGGCCCTGGATTTGATTCCTCAGCACCACATAAGCAAAAAGAAAAAAGCCGGAAGTGGCGCTGTGGCTCAAGTGGTAGAGCACTAGTCTTGAGCTGAAGAGCTGAGGGACAGCACCCAGGCCCAGAGTTCAGGCCCCCCGACTGGACCCCCCAAAAAATTGCATGAAAGAAAAAAAATATTTGAATACTTATCTTGGAGTTCATTCCCCTAACATCAAGTTATCTGACCTTTTCTGCTTGACTCAAACATATACTAGTTATTGCAAATAAGGGAAACCACGGGACATATCTTTCTTTGGGCCTGGCTTACTTCACTTAATATAATTTTTTCCAAGTCTTTCTTTTTAACAAATGGGGCAATGCCATTCTTTCTGATGGAGGCATAGAATTCCATTGTGTATATATACCACATTTTCTTAATTCATTCATCTACTGAGGGCCATCTGGGTTGGTTCCATATCTTAGCTATGGTAAATAATGCTTCAATAAAACATAGTTGTGCTGGTAGCTTTAGTATGGTCTTGTTTGTGATCATTTGGGTAAATGCCCAAAAGTGGGATTGCTGGGTCATAGGGGGGCTCTGTGTGGAGTCTTTTGAGGAAACTCCATACTGCTTTAAGGAAGCATTTTCTACCCCCTTATTTGTCCCATCTCTGAGGTCTCTGATTCAGGATGTATTGGATACATCAGTAATTTAAAATCTCTTTCTTTGCTTCCCATTTACTCCCATATCTCTCATTAATATTTTTTTGTCTTGGAAAATGTGGCTTTATTGGCACCTTGTTACTTGTTACTTGTACTAGAAGAGTTATTTTGAAATGTCCATATATGTATACAATATACTTTGATCAGATTCATCTCTTTGGGCATTCTCCTCTTCCCTCATTCAGAGAGGGTCAATCTGATTAAAGTACAGTATATGCACGTGTGAAATACCATGGCAAAACTTCTTTGAACACTTGGCACATCCTAAAAAATTAATAATAAACAACAGGGGCTGCAATGCTTGGTAAGAAATGTACGCATTATCCTGCCCATGCAATTGTAACCCCTCTGTACAGTATGTTCACAAATAAAATAAAATTAAATTAAAAAAATAATAAACAACAGGAATGTAAAGAAGGTTCTATCTGGGGTACTGTACTAGTGGGAGGGGAGAGGGTAAACAGAGAGGGTGAAGAAAAGTGAATATGATCAAAATACTTCACATAAATGTGTGAAAATGGAAAAGGTGCCTTTTGACAAAAGCTATGAAATATGTGCAAAAATCAAGAAAAAAAGTTTTGTCTCTTTAGTTTTCTTATCTGGATTAGCATTTAATAAAATATTAGCTATCATCTTTCTGTAAAAAGAGAGATTTTTTTTTTAGTTTTGTTCTGTGACTAATACTGGACCATGAGCTGCAGGATGATTTCTATATCTGCTTCTGCAAAAAGTGTCACTTGGCCTCATCACACATGAACTTTATGTTTGAACATTACCATTTGTGAAAGTTTGTCATTGATACAATAAATTTTTACCAAAAATATTCAATAATACTTAGGATACCATAAATATATCATTTTTCCTAAAAAATATTCTTGATGTGTCAGAACTACTCAGATAAGACTTTATAAGTTGTGTATTAATACTGACATTTGAGCTCGAGAGTTATTAAAATACATGTGCAAAGCAGAGACCAGTGAGGCTATTCAGATATTTCTAAGATATATAAAGTTAATG